CCCACCCCCGCCCCTCCGCAGTCGACACTCTTGTACTTTCTGCCCGGTACCACCGGGGAACCGAAAGCTTGTCAGATGCAAAAGAAAACGGATGGGGCGGGGGTGGGAGACCGGACTGCGTAGAAAAATATTTAGCCAATCCCACATGTGCTACCGCTAGCGGGGCTGTTTTCGAGGCCCAGAGTTCGCTGTGACTCTGAAAAAACCACGGACAGTGTGCAACGCTCCCAGGCAACCTGGGAGAGCGCGGAGGGCGGGAGCAAGCCGCAGCGCCCCCTCCCCAACCTCCCCCGAGGCTGAAGCCTCCGCCCAGCTGCTGTGGGAGGGGGTGCTTCTGGGCGGAGGAGAGGGGTGACCGCAGGCGGATCCGCCGGCGTGGCGCGCTTCCCAGAGGTGCCGGAGGGCGTCTGCCCTCAGGGCGTGCCTCCGGGGAGGGCTGGAGCGCTCCGGGTTGGAGACGTCCCAGTGGCCAGGGGGAGGCGCGCCATCCCGGGGGTTGCGGGATGGGGCGGGGAGGGGTGGTGGTTGGGTCGCCCTAAAGGTCCCTCTCTTCGAATAAAAGAAGCGCTGGGGAGGGGGCAGGAGAGGGGCAAGGGGCAGGGTTCCAGGAGACGTCCCTCGCGCTCCGGGCTGGAGAGCTCCGGAGACCGAAAGGTGTCAAGGCCAGAGGAAGCTGCAGGGCGCGCTGCGAGGAGGCGAGCGCCGCCCGGCCTTGGCGCGCTGTGGGCGACTCCCAGGACGGCGCGGCCGGGACGCCGCGAGCCGTGGGGCGTCCGGTGGGATCAAAGAAGCCAAAGGAGGCCAGCCGGCGCGTCTGGGATTGTGGGAGAAGGGGCGGGAGAGAGAGGATGGGCATGGGCGGGGAGAGCCTGGCCTGGCCTGGCCTGCGCCTCTGTCGTCGGAAGGGGGTGTGTGCGTGTGTTGGTGTGCAGGTCAACACGCTGCTGCCCGAGGCCGAGACCTGGGTGGATCCGAGTGTGGGTGGACGGGCTCTCGGGTGGGTGCCCCACCGGGAGGGCGAGCGAGCGAGCGAGATCAAGGGCAACGAGGCCTGCGGGTTCCTGTGTGTGTGTCTTAGGCCCTGCGGCTCAGCACTGGAGCCGCCTGGCACCCACAGGAATGCGGCTTCTCTCAGCTCCCCCGGCCGCCCCCTGTTCCACAAGGAGGTGGCCGCCAGGAAAAAGGGGGGGAAGAGGGCAGAAATCCGCCTAGCCCAACACGAGCCTCAAACAAAGGCCAATTTATCTCATCTTTTACAGGAGGGCCCGGGAGGAGGACGGGGCACCCAAGAAGTATACAGCCGTGCCAGCAGCATGCCCTCGGCCTCCCGGGCTTTGTGAGGAGGTCTGAAGATGGGGACAGGGGCTTGGGAGTACGGGGGCGCGGTGAAGAAGCCCACGCGAAAGTGAAATATGGGGGTGAGCCTGACATCTCGGGAGCAGTAGATTGACAGCTAGGCAAGTGGAGACCGGAAGGGGCAAGCAGAGGTCAGAAGAGTGGGGTCGGGCTTTTGGGGACCATGCCGGCGGGGAGTGGTACCCGTTTACATTAGATATAGGAATAAACAATGGAGGGAAGGCGGGAGGGTGGGAGGAAAGGGAACATCACACGGATATTTTTAGTCTTTGCTGAGGATCTGTTATTTTTATATCCTTGGGCGCAGGACTGCAGGGAGTTAAATTCCCCAGGGAGAATCCCCACGGTGCCAGGGAAAACCCGCTGCAGACTGGTTTGCCAGAATATTTTTGTCCACGACTCCTAGACCAAGTTTAAAAAAAAAAAACCGCGCGAGAGAAGAGGCCATTGCGAGTGGAAGAAGTGAGGTTAGCACAAGGGAAGGAATCCTGAAACCAAGTCTGTCCGCGCAGCGCTCCGCCCGCCCGCATCAGAAGGAGGCTCCGATGTCCTTAACGACAAGCAGTGTCAGGGCTGGGGGTGGCGGGGTGGTCAGTAAAGAAGAGCTTCCCTCTTCTTTCCGGGAACTCGCCCTTGCCTCTGCTTGACCACGACGGACGAGGTGGGGGGCGGTGGTGGTAGTGAAGGGATCCCCTTTTCAAAGCCAGGAAAGGAGAAGGGGAGATGATGGGGGACGCCTGGGAAAATATCTGCCCTCTCCACGTGTAGAAAAGTAAAGAGTGTGCTCCAGGCACATGCTTGCCCACTCCGGCCACCAGCGGGTCCGCCCCCTCCAACCTTCCCGAGCACGCACCCCGGGGTGGCGAGGGGCGCCCGCGCTGGGGGAAGTTGGCACTCGACAGCCGCGTCCGGGCGCGGGATTTCTCCCAGCCGGATCCGCCAGATAGAAAACGCTGGCTTTCGGTGTAATGGAAACTCCGGAAAGTCTTTCAAGCCAAGAATGAGAAGCAGGAAGCAGAGCCCTCTGCCTTTCCCCTCGTCCTCCTATTCTCTGCCGACGCAGAAAACAGAGTGGGCTCCGCACGGCCTTCCTCCAGGCGCGTGGCCACCCGGGCCTTCCTCCGAGAAAGACCAGCTGGAGGGTATCGAAGGCGGAGGCGACTTCGGAAAGGGAACCGCGTTGGGGGTGGGCGAGGAAGGGGTGGTCCATAGCCTTGGCCACGGCCCACGAGCCGCCTTGGAGCCAGGCAGGGTGTCCCTTCAAGACACGCAAACCTTCGAACCCCCCCCCCCCCCCCCCCCCCCAGGCCTTTCCAAACTGGCAGGTTAGAAAGGAGAGGGGAAGAGAAGGAAGGAGACGAGCAGAGGAAAGAGAGAAAGAGGCAAAAGAACACACAGGTAAATTCCCCTCCGGGCACACAGCGTGCCTTTTCAGGTCTAGTCTCCCAGCCCTGGAAAAACCTTCTCAGAAATCCTCAGATGACAGGATGTAATTTTTTACGTTCTAATCTCCACTCCCCACCCCCAAGAAGACTCTTTTGTCAAATTTATTACTGCTGACTTCCTAGCTGTAAAATATAACTCATGCAGCTTGTAATTTCCAACAAATGATTTCCCTTGGTGTCCCAAGGAAACAGAATCAGGCGGACGAAGGGACAGTCAGAAAGACACCTAGAGTTCTGGCCTGAGAGCGCAACTCTAGACCCGAGCCGTGGCTCTGCGTGGTCACACTGCTGACGTCTGTGTGCAGAGACGAGGGGAGAAGGACGGGACAGAGGCCAGGGTTGCTGCAAGTCCATCCTCTCCGCCCCGGAGAAGCCTTCACAAAAGAGAAATCCCTGCAAACAGATTCAACTTCCCACCGATTTGGAACCTGCTTTGCCACTGTTTTATGTAAAAGCAAAGCCGGGAGTGCTCCTTCCTGAAAGAACCGGAGTGGTAAAGGGGATGAAGGAAATAAACTTATGTTTGGAGTATTATCTATCTCACACGAAGGAAAATCAACATGGGGCCACAATGCTTTCCTTCCTTTCCTCCACCTCACACTTCCCTTTCCTGGCCGAAAGAAACCCCCCCCCCAACCTCAGCCCCCCATCACCACCTCTCGCCCCCGCCCCCCCACATGCCCTGTTTGGCCTACTGATTTAGGTCCATCATTGTTTTCAAGTCCCGTGATCCTTTCCTCTTGTGAAAGAGCTCAGATAAATTTATAATCATACATTAGGGAGTCCAAGGCACTACCATTTGCCACACTGCAAAGATTTCAGCTTTTTAAAAAAATGTAATAGGAGGGGAATTTTCTTTTTCTTTTTTTCATTTTCTCATCTCTGGAAGCTCCCTTTGAAGGGAGTGTAATTTGTCTAATTGCTCTGGCAATACACAGAGGCTGATGGAGGTGGGGGGGGGGCAGTCTCCACCATAATTGCTTTGAGCTTAGAATTCAGAGTGGTTATTGAGGGATTTCTGCTTCTTTCTTACTCACACACAGAGAGGGAGGGCTGTATTTAGATTTCAGCATTACTTTCTACCTGAAACAATTTGGGGTTAAACTTAAAATTATCTAAACGTTTTTGTGCTTAGGCCAAAAATCACCTTAATATATATTATATGGCAGTACTCTAAACAGGCCACACATGTATATAGACATATAAAGTACAGCATCCAACATACACACATCTACAGTTCTGTATCCATGCGTCCCCACTTTGTTTTCCTTTTTGCCTTGTTGGATCTCTACAGTTTGTCTTCCTTTAATAGCCTGCACAAAACATCACTAGCCCATTGTAAGAGGGGCATATGGAGTATCTTTTAGAAACATTTTGCTTTCATGGTCGAAATAATTTTATTTATCCAGAATATACAGCTTAATTCTTCTATCTACACTTATTTACATGGTTAAAATAACATTGAAAAAAGTCTTTTTGAAAAGTTGAGGTCATAGATTTCAAGGCACCATTGATAGTGTCCACAGTTGCGCAAATGTTCGTCTGTAAAAAAAGGGGGGACGGGCGGGTCCTTTGAAATGCAATAACTTACATGCAAAAAAAAAAAAAAGCTTTACACATGAATTTTTTTGTTTCCGTTTTTCCAAACTTTCCCATATGAATTCCTTTTTTTTAAAAAAAGGTTGATTTTCTAAAACAGCAAAAACACAGTAGTCCCAAAAAAGAGCAAGAGAAAGCGGCTGGTCTAATAGAGTGTCCCGGAGGCCAGCGCCAGCGGGTGCTGTAAGGAGCCGGGCGGCGGCAGGTGGGAATTGATTGAGCTGGCTGCGCTCGGATACCAGGAAGCCGAGTTCTCCAGGTAGCTGGACGCGGGGGACTGGTTGGAGGTCGGAGGGTGGGCATGAGGGTGGTGGCTGAGCGAGCGGGTCGAGCCCTGGGGCTCCCACACCGCTGGAGACTGCGGCGAGTTACACGCCATAGGGTCGCTGGAGCTGGGGCTATGCTCCGGGGGCATCTCCCCGTTTTTCATGATCTTCTTGATCTTGGATCTTTTGTTCTGAAACCAGATTTTCACCTGGGTGGGGGGGGGAACAAAGGCACACGTTACCGGGTCGCTCAGGTGCTTGCCAGCGCGCCTCCCCCAGGGCGGCGACCTGGGGCTTAATTCGGCCCCCAGGAGGCCGGACCCTGGTGTCCCCCCGCAGCTGGCGGCCTATGGTCAAGGGGCTGGACCCGGGGGCACAGCCTGGATCATGGGTCCCAGAAGGGCCGCCGCTGGGGCAGGACGCCCAGGCTTCGGTCTTTGGTTGGGGCCGGGGGAGGGGGAGCGATTGTCCGCGCCGGCCAGCGTGCACGTGTAACCCAGCGCGGGACGCACCCAATGCGGCGCCACGAACGTCTCCGAAACGACCGCCTGAGCGCCGTGCGCCAGAGGCGCGTCCGCGCGAGGTAGGAGGGGGACCAAGGAGTGCCCGACCGCCTCCTTTTCCTCTCACTCCAGCTCGGCTTCGAGGACATTCTTTATTTTTCCGTAGGCCACCGTGGGGTTGCGGTGGGAGTGAATGGGACCCTCCAGGGCAGACTTCCCCGAGCCACAGCGCCCCCCACCTCGGACCGGCCGCAGGCGCAGGGCGTGACCCTCTGCTTCCGGCCCCCAGTGCGCGGCCTGAGACCCCGGCGCGGGGACCGGGCCCTGCTCACCACAGCTGCTCTGCATTGTGCGGAGCACTAGACAGTTTCTTAAAGCCGCGAGGGTGTCCTCGAGACAACCCTCCCCTTGTTCCCAATCTAGGGAACTGGCCCCTCAGCCCCCGTAGCCTCGAAGGGCGGGGGGCTGCTTCTGGGGATGAACGGCGTCTCGCTGCCGTCCCCACCACGCACGGCGACGGCACCCGGCCTGACTTCTAGAGGGGAGGGCGCGGGGTCAGTGTCTGTGAGTTTCTCGCGGGCCCTGATGAGTCGGCTCCAGACCGCCGGGACCGAACCGCGCGGTCCAGCCGGGCTTGCAGCCCAGGCGGGGCTCTGGCCCAGGACGTGGCCGGATTTACCTGTGTTTGCGTCAGTCCCAGCGAGGCGGCCAGCTCGGCGCGTTCGGGCAGGGCGAGGTACTGAGTCTTCTGAAACCTTCTCTGTAACGCGGCCAGCTGAAAGCTGGAATAAATAGTCCTGGGTTTACGAACTTTCTTTGGTTTGCCGTTCACCATCCTCACCTCGGGCTCGGCCACTTCTTTCTCTAAATAATCAAAACAGACCCGGTTAGAACTCGTTGGCAGACAATGGCCCTTTTGCATAACTTGCGAATACAGTCCTTGAAATTCTTAGCACGCAGCCTTCACTCTCTTTCCCCCATATCACCACCTTTACTTCACGGGAGAGGACTCGCGGGAGAGGACCCCCCCCCCCCCATCATGGAAAAGGCCAGGTAGCCTGATTAATTCCCTTCTCTGTTTATTCAGGTTCTCCTGGGTTTTTGCAGAGCTTCTGGCACAGCAAAACTCCCCTCTCGGCGTCCGGGATTTAGCCCTTGCATTGGTTCTTGCTTCACCCGGATTCGTTTTCAATCCCACCTTGTGTTCACCGACGGCTCTGGGGTGAGTTCTGGGCCCGTCTCTCCCGGGAATTCAAGCGAGGAAGCCCGGGCCGTGGTCCCCCTTATGTCAGCGTCTGTTCGGGCGCCCGCAGAGGCCAGACGCATGGGCAGGGAAGACGCTAACCGAGGTCTCCAAAGTTCAAAGACCCACAAGCAAACTGCTCCTTCAATTCAGAGGCAAGCGGTCCGAGCCGCCGCAGACAGAGGGTCGATTATGCAGCCCCCATAATCTCCCTGCAGATCTGCGAGGGCACAGATGTGTCTGGTTTCTTTTACAAATAGACTTAATAAGTTCTTGGCCAAAAGGAAAAAAAAATCTTTCATGTATGCACGAAGCACAGAGCCACTGAAAGGAACGAAGACACCCCACTTCTCCTCCTCCCGCCCCCATCCACCCACCCACCCACCCACCCACTCCGGCAATCTTGTAAAGTTTATCAAGAGTTACAATTTGAAAAAGAACCTGCGGTGGGGTGTTTTCGTAGGAAAGGGGCGGCAGATGAGGACAAATTTAGCAGACTTGGTAGTATAGGCTGGGGCGGGGTGGGGGTGGGGGGAGCGGAAAGACTCTCCGAACGCCTGTTTTCCAAACGTGCCCTGGGGCCACAAGTCCCCTTTCACAAAAGTACCTTCTTATCAAAAGTGCCCATCTCTGAAAGGGGCGGAGACCCTCTCCTTGGGGTGTGTGTGTGTGTGTGTGTGTGTGTGTGTGTGTGTGTGCGCGAGCTCCTGGGAGAGGAAGGGTGGAGGATGAGGACTGTGGTCTCCATTCTGCCAGAGCAGGGGATGCTAATATTAGCAGGATTATTAATGTGCTGGTGGGAAGAGATCAAACCTGACCAGCAAAACCTCTCCAAGGAGACCTCATACCTCTCTTACCGCCCAAACTCACTAACCCTCAAACTCTCCAACTAAGTTTCAAGGCAGATGAAAAAGGAGACGCCTTGAAAAAGGAGATGGGAAAGAGAAACAAATTTTAGGCACCCAATGGAGAAAAAAAAATATTGCTCCAATAACGTGACCCTTCAGCAAACCTCCTCCACCTTTAAATGGCTTTTTGTTTTTGGAAATGCCTTGGATAAACCGCAGGGCTTTCGGCGCGCTCTTCCTCTGGCGGGCTAGGGCTCGCGGGCCCCCACCCTGCCCCGCGTGCTCCGGGCACCCACACCACGCTGGCTCGAAGCTACTTCCAGACTGTTCCCTACGGAGTCTTTGAGGCAGCCGTGCATCCCGACTCCCACCGGCCGAGCTCGCCTACCCCCCCCCCCACCCCCACCCCAATCCAACAAATAGCCTTCTCCCTACCCCCTTTCCAGTTTAGCTGGCTTGCTCTCCGGGCAAGTTGGGAATCCAGCGACTGAGCGGTCTCCTGAAGGGACCGGAAAGAAGAGACGCTAGTCCGAACACTCCCCGCAGGCTGCTTCTACTAAGAGTCTCTAAAATGCTGGAGAGGGGATTTCTCTTGTTTGTAAAGTCCCGGCCCCCACTCCCTTCCGCCGGGTGCTCCCCCATTGCAGTGGATAGCGCGGCTCCCCCAAGTCCCACCGCATCTCCGTCCTCCCGAATCCTGACTCCCACCCCCACGCCCGGTACCTGGCTGGCTGGTGGCGCTCGGGACGCGGTTGTAGGCGCCGCCGTACTGGTGGTAGGGGCTGGCGTAGCTGTAATCGGCGTACGCTTTGGCGGGGTAGCTGCCGGCGGAGCCGTTCACGCCGTGGTACTGGTACTGGTAAGGGCTGAGCGCCTTGCCGTAGGAAGCCGAGGTAGGAGGGCAGTAGCCGTGCGGGGCTCCCCCCGGGGCGCTGTAGTAGTCGGAATCGGTAGCCGACGACTCCGGCAGAGTTGGCGACTCCTGAGACGGGTGGTGCATGGCTGCGGCCGTCTGGAACGGGGCTTGGAAGTCGCCGGATCGGATGCTGGGGACCCTTCTGTCAAACACTCCTGTCATCGCTCGCTGGCGGCGGCGGCCCGAATTGGCTGTGGGGCTGCTCCGGTCTAAGCTGACATGGCTGTGGGAGCGAGGGAGGAGGAGGAGGAGAGGCGGCGGCGAGGAGGAGGCTGGGAGTCGCGGAGGCTCCGTCTCCGGCTGGCTGACTGCTGGCTGAAGCGCAGCACAGCCTTGGTTAAATCCTTAATTGCGCGCTTACGCACAGCGGGGTGGATCGGGTTCCATTGGCCAGGGCCTCCGGAGCAGCAGCAACACCCTAACTCGTCCAACTAGTTTTAGCACAACAAAGCATTGCTTAAAAAAAAAAAAAGGGAGAAAAAAAATGAAGGGGTGGGGGAAGACGGAGAGAGAGAGACAGAGTTGTTGCTTGTTGGGGGAAGGAGGGGTGTCTCAGGCAATCTGTTTTCAGTGAATTCTAGAGGCGACGCAGAAGCCCCAGCACCCAGCTCTGTACTGTCTGGAGACAATGTGTTCCAATGAGCAGCCTCAGAAAGTGCACATGTTTGGGATGAGGTCGACCACTGTCTCTCCTTACTTCTCAGCTGCACCAGGGGCGAATGTGGAATTAAACACTTAAGAGTGAAGTGGGGGGGGGGGGGAGGGATGTGGGACAAAGGCAAAAAGAAACGGATGAGAACAATATTTCTAGTGGGGTACTGGGAGCTAAGTTGTAATTTACATGTGTTGAAAATTTGCGATTTGGGGAAAGACAGACAAATCTGGAGCAAGCACTTCCTTTGCCGGAGATGAGTTTTATTTCTGAGAGGGTGAGACAAGGGTACTCAAGAATGCACAATAAATGGCAGAAAGAGTTCCTGCAGCCCCCGGTGTCTGCAGTGATTTAAAAAATCACTGCCTTAAGCACAAATACCTTAATGACTCCCAAATTGCTGGCACCCCAAAGGAGCAGGCAGCCCCACATTTTGTTCAATATTCTATTCTGTTTGGATGCTACTGGAATAGAGGATCTATAATTCTGTGTTCAGTGGCCAAAGACTCCTGCAAAAGTGAACGGTCTACTTAGTGCCCTGTCCTCAGGGACTTAGTGGGAACGCCCAGAACACTGGGAAGTAAAGATAAAAGCTCTTTAGGGAAGTTGGGCGAAGCTCATCGATTTCCCTCTCCCAGCTCCAAAGAGGTAGAACCAAGGGCCTGCTTTTTCCTTCCCCAGGTCTGGGTTCCTGTATCCTCAGTCCCTTTATTTCCTGCATCGAAAACATCTTAGGTCGTATGCAAAGAGAGACAAGGCTCAGGAATCAGACCGTTGGTGTTTGGGATGCAGAGTTTGCTTTTCTTGACATGTCATTCTTGCTCTAGCAGTGATCTAGGTGGGAGATTAGAAATTTAATATTAGTTCACCGCTCCCGACTGCCTCTCCCCTCGAATAGGCCACTACAGGAGCTGGATCCTGATTTGGGCCCTCCCAGCATCTTCCTCCAGGGGTCGGGAGCCTGGGAGGTTCACTCCACTTCCAGGGTGGATGCCCTCTTATTGGTGCTTCCTCCCTGCCCCCCACCCCCAACTGGAGAAGAAAACATCTCCATTGATTGTTTCTAGGCCTAGTTTAACTGGGGAACTATTTTGGCTCAAAACAGGCTAGCAGGAGAGCCCAGTGGTGGGGGCAAGTGTGGAACTCGGTGCCCGGATGCCAGCCGGGTGCCAGCCTGGCTCTGAAACTCCAAAGCTGAGGAGCAACCACACATGCACCAACTCCCTGCCTCTGCCATCTGGGCATCATAAAACCACAGCTGTGGTCACTGGGCCCTTTGGGGGCAACTTCAGCTGAGGGGGGGCCCATGGAAGGCGAGGTGTGTGTCACCAGGTCCACAGTGCCCCTTGCCCTGGCCCAGCCCGAGTCCCCACACCCTGGACTTCTCTGAGACAGATGTCCGGTGAAGAGAGGCAAGGCTGGCCGCCCATCCTCACCCCATGCTGTGGGTGTCAGCGCGGCTGTCCACCCCCTGGCTTTAGGCTGGGGAGGACCACAGGGCTTTGGAGGAATATGCGCAACAGCAGCAGGCTTGCAGTCCTGGCCCGTGCTCTGGAGAAGGTGTCGGCGCCCACTGAGTCACTTTACACACATCCTGCCATTTAATTACACGAGTCGCTTCCCCAAAGCAATGCCAGGGACGGTTCAAAGTGCCTCCTGGCAAAGGCGAATGACTCGGGGAGCAGGCGCCCATCCACAGCGCCCCCCTCCCCTCCACCGCTGCAGCCCTGCCCTGGTGCTTATTATTTATTACAGATTTAAAAGTTATTACGTGGAGGGAAATAAGAGCAATAGGGTTATGCTAAATCAAGTGCTCCTAGCAATGTCCTTAGACATTACTGAGAAGGCAGATTCCCACTTGGATGGATTGGAAACTGCAGAATTTGGGCAAAAAAAAGGACATTCTCTCCCACAATTTTTACACAAGACAAAAAGGAGTGGGGGGGGGGGGGGGGGCGTGCCCCGCGGAATGTGGCTGCGGAGGCGGGAAGCTGGGGTGCCTGCTGGGGGCGCACGCGATGCTGCCGGTGGGGGGGGGGGGTGGGGAAGGGAAGGATTTAATTCTTTGTTTCAATTCCTAAAGTGTTGGCCTTCATGCCAGACAGGAAGACACTTTTGCAAAGGCCTCTGCCGGCCTCCAAATCCGGGTTGTGTCTCTGAGAGTCCAGAGCATCGACTTGCTTGCTTTGTCCTGTTCTTTGCTAGGTTGACCCCACTCCCTGATACCCTTCTTTTCCTTAAAGGAGGCAGGAGGGAGAGGGAGCGCTAAGAGGGGCCACGATATGGTCCCATTTCATTTCCCATATTGTCTTTGTGACTCTGTGTACCGCTGGCCCCCCAAACCTGGTTGCCGCTTCAGACCCACCCTCCCCGCACACTGACTTTGGGTATCCTGGCTGACAGGTTTGCAACTTTTGCTGGTACCGTGGTGGTTCTGATACAAGGGCCCAGAGGTTGGAGACCAGCGGGCTGGACGCTGTCACCTCTTTCTAAACCCACTGACCGGCCCAGCCTTGGAGAAACAGCCCCGCGGCTTCCAACTTCTCCAGAAAATGCTCTCCCCGCGGTGGCACGTAGGAAGAATGTGAGTAATTTCATCTCCTAGTAGCCGAAATTTGCAAAGGGCGGGAGGGGGTGGAGGGGAAGCGGACCCTAAGAGAAGAGCAAGTCTTTACTACGAGCGCCACCCAGTGTCCGCTAGGAGCAGCGAGCAAATGGCAAAGGCTTCCCAGACTCAGCGTTCCCGAGTAGACAACGCTGGTTTCTCCCGGGGTTCCAATCGGCTACCACGTGGCTTTCCTTCGATCCACTCAGCGGATCTTTTTCTCCACTCCTACGGTCCTTCGTACCTTTCCTGTTACTCCTTATACATCCAAACTCTTCCTCTTCCCCTCGCCCCCAACCAGATCCCTTTTTTTTTCTGGGTTTCAGCACGAAACCCAGCAGTTTGGCGGAGTACCATGGCCTCCCTGGTGGCTCAGCTCTAAAGAATCCACCTGCAGTGGGGAAGACACGGGTTCGATCCCCTGGATGGGAAGATTCCCTGGCGAAGGGAACGGCAATCCTCTCCACTCTTCTGGTCTGGGAAATCCTATGGACAGAGGAGCCTGGCGGAGGACAGTCTATGGGGTCTTAAAGAGTCGGACACGACTGAGCGGCCTAAACAGTAACAATAACATGCTCTGGGATGGCTAGAAACAGGTGAGGCTGAGCCTTGTTTTGGAGACAGTTCTGAAGAAGCAGGCGCCCCTCTAACTGGATGGAGCGCTTGATGCTGAGGGTGATTCACTACTTCCATGACCTGGAAAGATGGTGCCACTGTGAGTTTGCAGGGAGAAGGCCTTGCAAAGGCCTAGGAGAAGGTCATTTTAATAGCAGAGTTAACTTAGCTTTCTCCCTCTGGCCCCTCTGGAGGTCTGCTTACTTGTAGGCGTACCAAAAGTAGAACATCCTTTCCTTTGGGCTTAAAGCTCAGCCAAATTACTGCACCTGAAAATATTTATGACTGAAGATCTTTTTAATATGTAAATGATTTAATTAAGACATTGTACTTATCAGTTGGATGCACAAAATTCAGGTAGATAAAGGACCCCCATAGCATGATGTGCATGTTCATTCGCTTCAGTTGTATCCGACTGTGGCAAGCCCAAGGACTATAGCCTGCCAGGCTCCACTGTCCATGGAATTTTCCAGGCAAGAATATTGGAGTGGGTTGCCAGGCCCTCCTCCAGGGGATCTTCCCAACCCAGGGATTGAACCTGGGTCTCCTGCACTTTTTGCATTGCAGGCTGCCGAGCCACTGAGGAAGCCTGCATAGCATGATACTAGCATTATACGTGAAAACTTGATATAAACAAGGCTTCTTTATTTTAGAATCTTTTTAGAATTATTTTTGAATCAGTGGGCTACCTGTCTTTTAAAAGTCCTTTTCTTGGGTTGAGGTTTATTTCAGTTTTTATTTGCAGTGCTTGATCTGTTACTTTTCTTCATCTGTCCAATAAAAATTGCTCTGAGAGCAGTTCACTGTTTCTATGTCTTTAACGATCACGATACATCTAGAGCACTTTTCATCCCAGGAATCTCAGACAGAAACACAGCTGGTTACATATATCTTATATTTTGTAGAGAGAGATTTGAGTAATCATTTTATTTACAGTGGAGCGTCACTTTTCTTTGAGGTAGGGCACAGAGATCATTTAATAAGGTAAGGGACTTAACTTTCTTGGTGGTTCAGTGGCTGAGACTCCACGCTCCCAGTGGAGGGGGCTGGGGTTCAGTCCTGGTCGGGGAGCTAGATCCTACATGCTGCAACTGAGACCTGATACAGCCAAATAAATAAATAACAATAAATTTAAAAAATAACTGTAGAGCCCCCAAATATTAAATTTGATGTTTGTCTAGAAAAGACACATTTCCGTGAATCTGAGGAGATGAAAAGATAGGAGTGATGATTGAAAAAGTGAAGGCTTTTAAAAAATATCAAAGGTTGTTGGCCGTTGGTTTTGGAAACTCAGCTGAATGGCTTTTGGGTCTCTCTATAGAGAGCCAGGCACACTGGCTTGAAACTGACATTCAGAGGTGGTTCCTTTTCTGAGTTAACAAAACTGTCTAATTCCCCACCTAGGTTTAAGGTTGTTACTATGCACTCATGAGGCTGAACTAACTAGGCCGAAGCCAAAATGGCTTGGCCTATCTGAATGGACAGTGAGCTTACCCAGGGAAAGAGGTGAGGGAATGGGGGTGTGATGGAGTGATG